ACCTATTTCTGGGAACATGAATGAAATGATATGTTTAGCCATTTAATTTATGCTCAAACTTTTATAAGTTATAGAAGTAAGCTGAGAGTTTGGCATAAGATCAAAGAACAGTGATTTACTCTAACTTTGAAGACTTGCCTTTTCTGTTTTGGACTGATTTTATTCTCTAGTGTAATAAAAATGATGTGATGACGATGATACTGATGATGATGTTGGTGACGATGCTGCAGCTGAGGAGAATAGCTAATATTTATTGTGTATTTACTGATGCCAGACACACTGCTAGCTCTTCAAATGCATTTTTTTTTTCATGTAATCCTCACCATCATTTGACCTAGGCATCATTTTTTTCTTTCTCTTTTTGTTTCATTTTTTATTCATGTATAAATTGCAAACCATCTTGAGATGTTCTATGCCATTCAAAGATGAATGCAGAGTGATCCCTGCCCTCAAGAGGTTCACTGCCTGGAGAGTAGGCAGGCACATGAGTTAATGATGGAATCCGATGCAGTCAGCGTTACAGATGATAAACTGAGTTACGGCCATAACGTTTCCTTAGTTGCAGCTGTGCCTTCTTCACACCTTGAGAGTAGGCAGTAGGTGTCAAAATCAAGACCCTTCTCAGTTTGAATGCTGAGGTGCTGACTGACATTTCAGCAGCTGCTTCTTTCTTCCCCCATCGTGCACATTGCTGCCAAGTTCTTTCCCAACCACGCCTGTAATCAGATCTTCCCTTTGCTCACCAAATATGAATGGTGACTTAACATTCCTTTAAAAATAAAAAATAAATTAAAAACAAAATCAAAAGCCCAAGCTCCTTGCTTTCAAGAACTCCCACAACCTTATTAAGGTTTCCTCTTCCTCCTCTGCACTGTGAGCCTGCTCCTTCTGGCATGAACAGGACTTGGTGCTGGATGAGCCCTTGGCTCCTTTATGCCTCCTTCCCATAACTCCTGCCTCGACGCCCACAGCGCGGGGGGGAGACGCCCGGGCTGAGACCCCGAGCGGGCCGTGTAGGCTCTGAGGCAGGGCGGTATTATGTTCATTATTTCACAGTCTCCACAAATTGGGTTGTGCTTTGAGTACAGAAAGCACTGCAAGGCGACTCAAACAGTCTCTACTGAAACTGTGGAAAGGGACTTCACTTCTTAGACAATAGAGGGTGTATTTGCTGTCTATTAAGCCTGTTGCTTATTAGCACCTTGTTCTGTTCCCACCAGAAAATGCCTCTAAGTGACCAACAATAAAATAGAAAGGATTGTGCCTTTTTAAAGATTTATCCCTAAAAGACAGATTGATTCTCTTTTTACAGCCTCTTTTTTAATCTCTACAGTGTGACCTGGTATAAGGGTGAAATCAAGATTCATGATTAAAGTGGCTTTAGTGATTTTTGAGACTCTCTCAAGGAAAGATGAACATTCTTAGAAAGTTGAAGATCAGCCCTACCGGTGTGGCTCAGTGGCTGAGCATCAACCCATGCACCAAGAGGTCGCTGGTTCCATTCCTGGTCAGGGCACATGCGCAGGTTGTGGGCCCGATCCCCAGTGGGGGGCGTGCAGGAGGCAATCGATGTTCTCTCTCATCAGTGTTTCTATCTCTCTCTCCCGCTCCCTTCCTCTCTCTAAAAATCAGTAAAGAAAACAAAAAAAATAAATAAATAAAAATAAAAAAGTTGAAGATCAGGTATTTTCCTGAATATGGTGCAGTTGTCGAGTGAATCCCAGAACCGCAGGTTTGAAAGGGACCTGTAAGACCCTCTTTTGCAATCGGCACAGATAAGAGAGTGGGCTTTCCAGCTGGTGCTTCCTGCCCCGTTCTTCTAGGACAGTTCTCACAGAAGTACGATCTGCCTCAGGTTTCTCGTGGCTCCAAAACGTATTCACTAGTGAGAATTTTATTAAAATGCTGTAACTAATGACATCAAGCCATGTGTAGCTCAGACTAGGAAGAATTGGGTATAATATAAACTGCCTTCTTTCCCAAATTATTTTTTAACTTAATATTACAACAAACCAAATGTGTTTATTTTTCTGCAAGTGTGCTGACATGAAATTTATTTTCTATAGTGACATAGCAGAGAGCATTCATTCATTCACTCGGCAGTAAATAAATGGTCTGTTACAGTTCTGTGCGCTAGAATGAGTCAGCGTTATAATGATGAAACGTGGGTTTGTGGTCAAGCACGTCTGGATTCTAGAGTTAATCCCTGCACTTCTTACCTGTGTATGCTAGGAAACTTGGGTTTCAGTTTTTTCATCTATAAAATGGGTTCATAATAATTCCCACGTTATGGGGTTGCTATGAAGACTAATATACTTTAAAAGTGTGTAACACAGAAACGTATAAAAGGCATACAAAAAAGTCAGTTATCGTTTTTATTATTGCACTGATCATTGTAATTCAAAACATCTAAGACTTTTTAATATTTGTTTTCTTATTATAACTATATTCATAAGAAAAGTCCTACAAAAATAGTTAAAGAACATTAATATTAGCTCCTTTTATTAAGCTGAAGGTTTTAGGTAGCTTCCAGTTTGGGAGAAGAGGAGGCAATTTTTAAAGCCTCTCTGTGAATTTTTAAAAAGATACTGCAGGATATATGAGTTTATGACAATAACTAGGATTGAAGACCACAGTGTGACCCGGAGCGTGAAGAGATGTGTAAGATGACCATGTGGCACAAATCTGGAACAAAGCCGACCGATGGCATTCTGAGAAAAGCGACAGCGCACAGGATTCCGATGCGCCAGCGGCAGGGCCGGGCCCCAACTCTGCGGAGGGAGCACACGGGGACTCTGGGAGCACACGGGCACTCTGGGAGCACACCGGGACTCTGAGATCCCGCAGGGCTGCAGACCTTTCTGTTCTTAGAAAACCCCTACTTTCCCCTGGGAGCCAGTGGATCTTCACAGTCTGGAAGGGGAAACGTAGGTTTTGAGATATATATTCTTTTTCCGACTGTCTACATTATCATGGAGAAGACATTCATACTCAGAGAAAGAGGAACTGTGCTGTTAGCTTGGGCGGAAAGGGAGAAGGGACAGGTCCTCTGCAGGCAGGGCCCGCGGCTGCCCTCGTTCCGCAGCCTCTGCAGACAGGGTGACGCAGGCTCCGCCGAAGATGCTGGGAAAGGTGGTTTCCCACGTAGCTCACATCAGAGGGTTTCCATTCTCGATGGTGGGGAGACGGCAGTAACAGTGAAACATTATATGGCTTTAAGGGGACAGCGTGGCGACTGGGACAGGCTTGTTTGTGACGTCGCAGCGAAGGGAGCTTCAGGTTGCAGGCGCCAGTAAACCGGAGCTTTGCGGTTCAGTGTTGTTTCCTTTCATTGCTACAGATGCTTTTCTTGTGGCCAAAACCTATGCTTCTCTTATTTAATATTGTCACCTATTCATTCACATAAACAAGCATTCTTTCGCCCATGACCAGAATTGGCTCTACCCGTCCTGATGCAGAACCCCACTGTTAAAAAGGAAAACATTCAGAACTCTCCCCACAGTTTCTACCCTGTGGGAGATTTGTTTCTGTTACTATTTGTCACATTGACTTGCACGTGGATACAACTGTTGAGAAGGTCTGACTCCCTGTACTTGCCACATCTAATGGAGCTGCATTTCACCTGGTTTGGTGTGATCCACACACAAAGCACAAACCAAATATAAGCAAAATTACCCTTGGAAAAGCCTTAACTCGCCATACGATAGAGTAGACACGTATAATCCTGCGTCGTCGTTTTCACTGGAAGAGCGAGGAAGGCCGGATTCTGGAGGGAAGAATGAAGTGAGAAAAAGGCAGGAGGAGAACCTGGAGGTGGGTAGGGAGCTGGATGTGCGACCACTCTGCTGCTGAATCCACAACATAATCCACGATGAAGGAAACGTGTGCAGAGGATTTCAAGGCGCTTCTGCATCACTGCAGGCTCTTCTCCCTTCCGTGTCCTTAGTGACGCTCTACGATGTTAACAGGGGCCCTTGGTTTCTGGCTGGGAGAAGAGAAGAATGATTCAGAATCACCTTTCGATGCAAGGAATTGAATGGTGATGATGTAAAGGACTAGACCTCAGTCCAGTGCAAAACCAGCCAATCAGACAGTGTCACAGCAAAAACCCTGGCAGACATTCTAAAGATTTTGAATAGAAAGCTGAGGCGCATTTGTGAAAAACCAATGCCTTGAGGAGCATTGACGGATGCCGGCTCAGAAATCATTTTGCACACAGGGCATAAAGAATAATGTGGAGCTTCATGATTCGTACTGCATGAATCTAGTCACTGGTTTTATTAAAGCTTATTGTCAAAAGCAATGTGCCGGCAATGTGTCCCCTAAATGCATCGCCAGCTCCCACTGTGGTCAATCCGGATGTCACCCTGGAATGTCCAGCTGCTTGGTCAGGGACTCAGCTTTGGAAAGTGTCACCCACATCATGTCAAACACGTTCAGAGGAAACCACAGCCTGTATCAAATATATTTTTTACTGTAAACAAATATTTTCATCTACGACTACTTTTTTTTTTTTTTTTTGCAGGTTTTCTTTTGTACTTTCAGTCAATTTGTTTTTTCTTTTGGCAGCACTTTAAGATTCTCAGAGGCCCTGGGCCAGGGAACAAACCCTCATGCTGGGTAGGTAACGGGCCTTTCTAAATAGAACAGTCAGTCATTCTGAACAGCATTTAGCGATTTGTCTCCTTCACTGGGAAGAAACAGTACACAATTTGATTTACAATAAAATAACAGAATAAAAATTCTTCCAAAAAGTAAGTTTTCCCAGCCCACATGATTTCATCATACAGGGGGATTTTAATGAAACCAGACAACATAATTGTATTTGCATTGTAAGGCATACATTAAAATTCTATTCTCCTAAGCAGAGGATTCTTAGCCAGTCATGGAGGTTGAAGAAGACCTTGCTGCTTCAAGGGGCTTTCACACCTGCAGAGGGAACACGGCGGTGCCCAGGCTGCTTGAATGAATTGCAAACGCTTGTTTCCTGTTTTGAACAGCCTCCATAGTGATTGGGAAATGGTGGTGTGAGATGGAGCCTTGTCTTGAGGGAGAAGAATGTAAGACACTCCCTGACAATTCCGGATGGATGTGCGCGACAGGCAATAAAATTAAGACCACAAGAGTAAGTGCGCTTATTTCAAATGTCTTGTGCATGTTACTAACTGTACTGTTCTCCTTTGTGTTGTACAAACATCACCCAGAGAAGCTTAGAACAGGAAAGAAAAAAGACTTTTCCCCAACAGAAACCATTCCTAACCATTCTGATCAGTGTCCATCCATCAGCAAGGAGCTAGAGATTGAACTTAACATTTCTATATGAGCAGTTCAGTGTTTCTGCTACTGGCTCATAAATACAGCTAGGTTGCATTAAAGGCAATTATTTAGGTAATTCATTCAACATCTATGGTGCTCAGAATCGATAATAAAATGAAGATGTCTAATTTGTCCACATGGTTTGTTGAAAAGGTCTGCATTTAAGTACATGTTCTTTAAAAAAATCCTTTGATGATTTTATAGGGAAATAAAAGGTTTTTGTGTTGTGAATAATTATCCCTTGATTTCTCTGGTTAAATCAGAAGTTGTTTTCAAAATACACTATATAACAACCTATATTGTGAAGCGACAAAACCCGTCAGAATTGGTGTCATGTTGCTGGACCAGGATGAAAGGGCCCAGCGAGGCTGATCATTGACCTTCCATATATTTGACCATAAGAAAGTCTGGGAGTCCTAAAGAGGGTCAGGGTAGGATGGGGTGCTCAAGACACTTAAGACAACATCTGTTTACTAGTATGATGTTATGTTACTATGTGAATGATTAGTATGGTCATATATATCTGTGCTATGTGACTATCAGCCCTATTAGGTGTGTATATGTTTTAATGTATTGGATATTTTTTTAAAGGAAGCTCAACCAATTATAAATCTCAATATCTTGACCTTGTAATCTTACAAAAGGGTGACTCAAATTTTAAGAAGCATCTCTGGTTCCAGTTCCCATATTATGAGTCTTGACCTGATCTTTCTTCACAGCATTATCTTTCAAAAAGTAAGATTGGTTCTTGCAGCTTTGTGATGCAGGAAACGAAAGCAATGCTATGTAATACCACACTAAATACTTCATTTTTCATGTGTAAAATAGGTGGAGATGCTTTGAGAGCCAAATTTAGTTGCCTGTATTGATCACATTAACTAGTCAATGGCCACCCTCCCTGGTTTGCAGCCAGGAGAGATTTCTAAACCTCCTAGCTTATTAACATACAGTTTTGAGCACCCCAAAAGCTCAACTTTAATAATTGTATTTCATTTCAATAAAACACCTACCCAAAAAACACCTACAGAAATAAACATGCTTCATGCAAATTATCTGCGGAAACCATTTTAATTACCTGGCAGACTGAGGTTTTCAGGTTTTCCTTTGGTTACATTTTGCCTGATAATGGTTTTACAAAATGATTTGAAGATGCCCTTACAAGTTAGTTTTAAGCTACTATGAATTATGGCCAGTGAAATTCCAGAATTATGACTGGAACACAATCACCATTATTTTAAACATGTTGCTATACACAAGTGGGCAAAAGTAGGTTTATGTTGTGAGTACACAAAACACAGTTTATTCTTGTATTATTATTTATTAATTATTGTATTATTTATTTCCATTACAATTATAAACCTACTTTTGCCCACCTTTTATTTTCTGCTATATCTCTATTCCCTATTCCAAATGACAACTGATCAATCTGTCCTGAAGGTAAGCCCTGCCTCAGCATGTCTCCAGACTTGTAACCCAGTAAAAGCAATAATGCAAGTCATTTCAGGATTTAAATATGTAAAATTCCAAGAGTACCAAGTAGCAGACTCTTTGGAAGCTAGAACACAAACAAAACACAGAAAGTGTTAATGCCTCCTTTCTGGGACCTAAATGACTCTCTCGTATTCAGCCTCTGTAGAGTCTATTTTAAAAGCACCAGGCATGTTCTACATACACCCTAGACATTTTCCAGCATCACAGAAGCGCAGTGCAGAATCTGATCCTGGTAATAGAGGCTGGCGCACACTGTGTCCGCTAACCCCCAGGTGGGCTCAATGCAAGCCAGAGTGTAGGAGAGAAGTAGCCGCCCTTGCCGTGGGCTTGAAAGCAGAGATGCAGCTGTTCTGACAAGAATCCATGTCACGCAAGGAAATGAGACGCTGTTCTGCAGCCTGTGAGCCGCACATCAGTCGACCAAGAATCCTCAGGTCTGTCTTGAGACAAAGAAAATAACACACTGGAAAAAGCTGTTCTTTTAAAACCTTGAGAGGACGCAGACATTCCTACTGATTTAAAATGTCTCCCCCTTCCTTACCAAGAAATTCACCATGAAATAAACACTTTTAAACACAAAGGCACCAATTAAATCCAGATGGTGCATACGGGGGCTTTCCATTCTGTATAAATGATGTGCCAACAACAGTCTTTAGATCATATGCTCTGAGAACAGGTTTTATGTCAATTTTTCTAGTATGCCCTATGTATTTTTCCCCATTAGAGAATGATATATCTACAGACTTCAAATAATGACTCTAGCAATCTATCTTTTGAAAGAGTTCAATTCACAGATGTACTTTAATTTGAATCACATTTTTATTTTTCTGTTTTTAACCAAGAGGTGATCTTTAGGATAAAAAATTTCTTCAAGTTCTTATCAACATGAAGGTGAAAATAAAGAACAATCATCATTTTTGTTCTATGTGTAGGATTGATTCAAAGAGAGTGCTCTTAGGGGGAAAAAGGAAGAGACATACCCAGATTATTAATGACAACTGAGAGTTTCCTTTATATGTTATTTTAAAAAGTAACTCCAGTGTAAAGACATTTGCAAGAAAGTTTCCTGGTACATCATTGTTTTCCCTATGTAGGTTTTCCCCAAAGTTTTCCTGTTAGAGGGGTTACTTCTCACATAAACACCCTAGGCAAAAATTCTCAGAGGTCTTTGAAAGGTAGATAGAAGGTGCTTCAGAATGTAATTTAATTTATATTTTTATAATGTTTCTTCTTTTTAAATGGTAGAGAGTAGAAATTAATTGTTTCATTTAAACGCCCAGACACCCCAGCTTGAGAAGTGGCCAGGGTAACAGTCCATTATCTAAAGGAAAACCTTGAGGAACCTGGATCTGGTTAGTAATATAACCCAGAAGGAAGATAGCTAGAATTAGACCAAGGCTTTCCTGTCAGGAGATTTGGAAAAATAAATCTTAAGGAAAAAGGAAGCTTCCTGAATGAATGTCACCTATAGACAGTCTCCTGCAGCATAAAGCTAGTGACAGACACCTCCTGAAGAGACACTTGATATGTCTGGGTGAAGTCTCATGGCTAAATTTTAACCCTGTCCCTGTTTGATCTTTGCTTCAATTGTTTTATTAAAATTGCACCTACACCCTGCCAGTGTGACTCAGTTGGTTGAGCATCATCCCATGCACCAGGAGGTCATGGGTTCAATTCCTGGTCAGGGCACATGCCCAGGTTGTGAGCTCAATCCACTATAAGGGGTATGCAGGAGGCAGCCAATCAACGTTTCTCTCTCATCGATGTTTCTATCTCTCTCTCCCTCTTCCTTCCTCTCTCTGAAATCAATGAAACTATATATATTAAATAAATAAAATAAAATTGCGCCCTGGCTGATGTGGCTCAGTGGCTGGAGCATTGGACCGAAGGACCTCAGGTTCAATTCCCGGTCAGGGGTGCATACCTGGGTTACAGGTTTGGTCTTGGCTGAGTCAGAGCACGTGCAATAGGCAACTCTGATTGATGTGTCTCTCTTACATCAATGTTTCTCTCCCCTCTCTTTCTCCCCCCTTCCTCCCTCCCTCCCATCCACTCTCTCTAAAAATCAATGGGAAAATTATCCCCAGATGAGGATTAATAAGACAAAAATACTGCTTTGTTAGTAGTTTACAGCAAGACTACCCAATTTAAATATTAACTAGAGATTTTTTTCTATGGTTTTAGATACCTACTGGTTTATTTCTTTTCTTTAAACTCATATATCAAAAATATAAATTTGCACATTGGAAAGGCAATAGCTCATGCATTCAGGAACAAATCTATACACTGTGTGTGCAGGAACAATGGCTTAATTTAGAAAGACAGACCTCTCCATAGAGGAAATCAGTTGTTTGAAATGCTGCCATAATTCACAGGTATAATGTGAACATTGGCTGTTTGAGGATAGGAAGAGGAAGGAAATGAAATGAGGAGAAAAGCAAAGTCACTTGGAAAGAAAAATAAGCAGATTAAAACAGCAGAACATAAGCTGGTAGAATACCTGGGGAAGTATCATACACCTTCGGGCTTCCTACAACCCAGTATGTTAATGTCTTTCAAACGATGAGAAAACTCAGTTAGTGCACAATGTTGAATCAAACTTTCTCCATAAAAGGGCGAGTGAACGAACGGAACTCAGTTTGCACACCTCACCACAATTACCATTTGGTCAAATGCCTGTTTTATGTCATCAGCCCAACACAAATCCAGCCCACCCTCCTAATGGTGACTGATCGGCATGGCTCCATGGTGGTTTTTATACTACTGAGAAGGTGAAGCGGTAGCTTTGGCATAGTTCAGGTTCTTCACTCAGAGGTCCACCAGGTCTGAAGTGCTCTGAGAACCTTTACAATCCTGATCTCCATTTCATTTTGTATGAAAGGTCTTTAAACTTAGGGGGAGGCAATGAAAGAGAGACAGGAGAGAGGAAAGAGAGAGAAGGGGGGTATGTTGGGAGATTGCAGAAAGGAAGAATGAACCCACTTATCCTCACACAATATCACAGTTGCCCCTGGATCCAAGTGAACTCATTCATCTCTCTACTGAATACATATATTGAAGCCTCCACTATCTAAAGTTAGTGTATAAGGGTCATGAGGGTGTGACATGACAGAGCCCTGGTCTTTTGTGCAGGACAGGGCCCAAGGTTGAGAGGTGGGGGGAGGCTGGTGGGTTCATAGAAACAAAAGAAAGGGAATTTTTGTGCATCTCACCGTCTCCCTCCTTTGGCGAAAAAGAAGACAGTGAAAACAGAAGGTAATAAATGTCACTGGAATGTAGGAAACCAAGGCTTGGAAGGATCTGTTATTTCTACGAAGAGAATAAAAAATAAATGTGTGGCCCTGGCCGGTTTGGCTCAGCGGTTAGAGCGTCGGCCTGCGGTCCGGAGAGACCCGGGTTCGGTTCCCGCTAAGGGCACGTACCTCGGTTGCAGTTTGTCCCCGGCCCTGGCTGGTCGTGCGGGTGGCAGCCACTCGATGTGTCCCTTCACGTCGATGTTTCTCTCTCTCTCTCTCTCTCCCTTCCTCTCTCTCCCTCCCACTCTATCTGTACAAAAAGTGGAAAAATATCCTCGGGTGAGGATAAAAATAAATAAATAAATAAAAATAAATAAATGTGTGAAGATTCCTTATACATTCTACTCCTGCTCCAACAATTTCCTATTGAAGACTTTTATTACTGTTCCTACCTGACCCTGGAGTGTCAAGTATACTCCCAAATACACTCCCTGCTCTCAGACACTCAAATTCTAAGACTATAAAGAATTAGAGATGATGAGGGAAAATGCCTTGTGTCCGAAATCTTGGCAATGACTTTACCTTACAACAGGCCAACATGACAAGGACCTGGAACGACCTACTCAGTTCAAATTCTCATCAGACACAGGACTGACTGTATAATGTGTAGAGTCCAGTCCAAAATGAAAACATGGGGTCCCTTTTTCAAAATTTACTTTTTCAAAAATTACTACTAATTTCAAGATGGCAGCAGGAGGTCATTAAACCAAGTGCTGGTCCTTTGCAGCACCGGGCTCTGGGCAGCTGCACAGGTCTGTCTCCTGCCCGTGAAGCCAGTTACACCTGGCTCCCAGATCTGTCTCCTTAGCTGTGGCAAAACCAGCTTAATAAACTGGTTAAAAAACGTGGTGGTCTGTCAATGTGCTTTGATCACAATTTGAGAACTACTGCTCTGGACATTAACATTTTTTTAATCTTTATTGTTGAAAGTATTACAGATGTCCGTCCTTTTTTTCTCCATTGACCCCCGTCCTCCCTGCTCCTGTCCCCCAACCCTGCCTTCACCACACTGTTGCCTGGGTGCATTGGTTGTGTATGTGCATATAAGTTCTGCAGTTTATCTCCTCCTACCCCCTTCTCTCTGAGATTTGTCTTTGTTCCCTACTTCCATGTCTCTCAATCTATTTTGTTCGTAGTTTATTTTATTCATTGGAGTCCACATATAAGTGAGATCATGTGATACTAGATGTTAGCATTTTTTACTTCAGATCACTTGAAAGAAGCAACATTCTAAAAATTCAAGATGTTCTCAATTTTCTGCCTGATCACCTTTCTTTGTACCTTCATTTTGTTCCTTTCTCCCTGAAATGTCTTTTTTTCTTTGGTTTCAGATTCACCCAAGAACCTAACAGAAGCATTTGTTGTAGTAATAAAGGAAAATCAACTCGGCGGAAAGTACATTTTCAGAATTTCAAACATCTAGCACATTAAAAGCCAAATGGAGTTCTTATTTGCGCTTTGACTTGTTACCAGATAATCACAGTGCTTTTACTGTGTGTCATGAAGTATCCTATAGTGGGAAGACCGGAGTTTTGGCCAACACCAAGAAAAGTGGGTTTTAGAAAACAAAAGATTTTCTCAGTGAAAATTTTGGAGATTATGAAGAACAAGCAACTATCTTCTAATTTGGATCTATAGTTACTTTGTACCATTTGAAATATATGTATATATAATATTTTGAAATATTATATATTCTCTTCAGGAAATGAACAGTACCACAGTTTGAGGCGGCTGGTGTTATCACTTTGAATTTTGGATGTTTAGTTGTGTTGCTTTTTGTTGTCATTTCTTTTTCTATTGGCAAGGAAGGCGTGCCCATCTAAGAGCTTGGCAGGGCACTCACACTGGAAGGCCAGCCACGGGTGGACTCCTGGAGCCTGGGGCAGCGCGACACGGAATCGAGCTTCCTTCCGTTTCACCCAGATGCCCAAGGAAGCAAGTGTCCTGCTTCGTTGCTTCCTGCCCTGTGCAATGTCGGCATGCGAGCTTGGCTCACTAACCATACTTCCTGTTCACTTGATAGATAATAACCGTTTGAACCTCTCCCAGGAAAACATTTTTAGAATACTAGCTTTTACACAGATAAGAAAGATAGGATTCTGGAGGGAGCTGCTCCACCATGCTCTTAAGACTCTGGTGGAGTTGTGGTAGAATATGAACCCCTGCATTAATAAGTCCTGTAAATACAATGTCGTGAGGCTTGTGTAGCTGTCCTAGACTGCAGAAATGCCCCCGATCAAGTCCGAAGTCTGGTATCACTAAGTACATAGTGTTACAGCAACAAGTCTTTACATGGCTCCTTTTTCTACATTTGATTTGCTTTTTCTAAGAGTATTCAGATCCCTTCTGGTGAGATAGGAAGACCATTAACGCAACTGGGCTTCAGAATAATCTATGTGACCAAATGTTGACCAGCCCTATAAATTGGTAAATAACTTCTCTCTGAACCTACTTTTCCTCTTTATTTGCCATTTGATTTTCCTGAATCCATTTCAGCCAGATCCAGAGAACACCCCACTTGGAGACTTATAGTCAATCAGAATTTTATCCATGAAATCTTTGTTGCTATAACAGCTACGCTTTCCAACCTAATATCGGGACAACCAGAAACCCGTTGTTACGCTGCAGTGTCCTCAGTCAGCAAGATGAAAAGTGAATGCGATTTGGGGGCTTTCATAGTTAGCACTTGGATGATACACATGGGGCTCACCTTTCAAAAAGCAATCATTGCCCATCGTCTCTTTCTGAGAGTTACTCAGCTGATGCTTATATGAAGGAAATATCTACTTAAGTTCTAGTTTACAGGGGATAGCTTAATAGTACTATATGCTCCTATTACTTATCACATTGCAAGTATATTTGTTTTTTTCTTCTTCAAAGCCTTTTTCTGGAATGCACATTGTTAGGGCCTCTTATTAGATCAGCAGCACAGTGGGTCCTCTAGTCAGGATGTTTTAATGTTAAAGGTCGGGTAAAAGTTGATGCTCCTTCATCTCTACCATATAGCTTGAGGTCTGATTGAATGTGTAAGCACTCTAACTAGATAGATTGACTCTACACCTTGAATGCTTACAAAATCATCCAGACGTGAAAATGGAACCCTCATTGCAAAATTTAAGTTTTCCAAATACTTTCACAAATATTTGTCAGAAAGTAGAGTAAAATAAGAATTACTTAAAATTATATACCAAGTAATATATTAATAATTGACTTTCATCTGTATACTTTGGAGTAAAAAACTTGAAGTTATAAACTCCAATAGTTATCTGAAACAGTACCTTCCAAAATATTCCATAATCAAATATTTTTGGGAAAAATTATAAACAAAATAAAATAGAAATATTTACTGAGGAAATTTTCATAGCCTTTACTACACCAAAAGACACTGTGTCTTCAAGAAGGACTAGAACAGGGGAATCACTAAACACCTTCCGGAATCCAGGCACGTGGGGTAGTCACTTGATGAATGGAGAGCTCATTTTCTGCCTGATGAGAAGCTACAAGAAATTATTTCTTTGTGAGGATATATTAACTGTATTATCATATCTTTAATATTTTAAGAGAACCATAAATGTACATTTTTACATGAAATTGTTTAACATTCTTAAGATTAACTAAAATGAGATTATTTGTATTTTTAAAAACTCTGCGAGCATTATTATTGCCCAAATTCCCTGAGCACGTGGCCTTGTCTGTGAGATTAGTGTTTCCTGAAACACCTTTTGAAAGTGTTGGTCCTGAATGAAAATTCAGTGAGAAGAAAACAGGATATTCTCTTTTCTCTGGCCTCACACATTCAGATCCTCCTCTTGATTTACAATCCGTGGAGTTCGCAGCTTTTCCTGCTACGTAACCAGAGCTTATGAATCAATGAAAGAGCTAGTCTACAGGTCCAGGGTTGTTATTCATTTCCCACTGGTCGCTTACTGCAGCAGTCCTCTTTGGAAAGACCTGCAGGAGAGAAGCAGAAAAAGACCACATCAGAAACAGGCAACCATCCAATAAAACAGTTACAATATTTGTAAATGTCGTCAAATTAAATTTAGATTTATCCAAGTCCCTTACACAAATGTGTGAACCATCAACTTGTGTTTAAATTTAACTTGCGCCAGTTTGGGGAATTCAGTAGCTACCATCTGCCTATTGAATCTGAACATTTATGGTTTAAAACTATGTATTTCTGGTAATAAAGAACTCAGTGTGGTATGACTAACATTGATCTTCAGCTCGTGCATCAAGTATTATGAATGATGTTATAACAAACGTAGAGCAAATGCAAAGGCTTTGATACAGAGCCCTTCAACTGGTGAAAAAGGAAAATATGACTTATTTCATAAGACAAAAATTTTTGAGTAAGATAAAGCTTATTTTTTTACTTTTTGTGTGATTAGATTTATGTATTAATGGACTTGGCAAGCACGTTGAGAAGTTTTACGACTTGGCTTTTTCCCATGAGAGAATGATGAAGAATGTTTTCACCAATACACAATTCAACATCTTTTTCTGATCAAATCCAGTGTAACTTTCACAAAGCAATCTAGTGATTTTATAGTGCAGTATATTATGCCATCTTGCCATTGTCACTGATATAATAACTTATGGAGGATATAAAAAATGTTTATATGAGGAGACCTACACATTCCTCACCTTCGTGACATAAGCTCTCCTTCCTGGAAGGTTAAATATCATGTCAAGAAACTAGTATCTCTTTTCATTAAGCTTCACAGCCCCATCTCAGGATCTGTTCGGGCTTATTGACAAAGAAGTGTGCCAGGTCTCCTTTGTGAGCTGTCTACCTTCCAAATAAAGGATGTAGTGTCTAGCAAATTCTAGGGCTCACGCCACATCCATCTTGTTTAGAAATATCAGAAAACAAAATAAAAGGCACTACGAAGGAATGTGGGGACTCGGGACCAGACTGGTCCCAGTACCCAGGGGCACAGCGCAGAAGAGATGAAAGAACCACGTTCACTCTTGAAAGTAACAGAGGCGGCCGTCAGCTGCACACACATCCTGGAAATGCTCCGCCAGGAAGCAGTTCGAGAGTCCAGGCTGAACAGGTTGGGTTCCTTCTTCGTGGAAGGGCTCAGGGAGTGGCATTGGGTGTTGTGGCGAGCTCACATCATTGGCCCACCAGTGGCTCTCTATTTATTTATTTTATTTAAGTAGTTTTGTTTTGTTTCAAACATTCTAAGCTCTTTTTTTTTATATAGCTAGTTACATTACTAAAAAAAAAAATAGCTCATTACCAAAGATGAAGGCCAGGACCCCTACCATAACTGACTGTATTTATAGACCGACCAGGTGATGTTTATGCAGTCCGAATCCCCACCTGCTTAGAGAGGCTGTGACCCAAGAGTGGAGTCACATGCATGCCATGAGGCAGGCGTCCTCAATTATTGTATGCCATACGCCACGGAATGGGTTGGAAGTGGCTTCTTACTATTAAAAATCTCCGCAATTCCATTTTTGAAGGACTCTTAGTTGGTTACGGTAGCTCTCAAACAAAGCCTAAAAGGCGCCTATGCCTGCAGGAGCCAGCCAGGTGACAGCAGTGAACCAGGTTCACCTGTCAGTGCCCGGGCACACGCGGAGCCCTAGCTCCCCGCAGGGCTCCAGCTGCCAGCACCGGTCCTAGCCGATCGTTGCCACGCAGCATCAGGGGCCTGTGTGGCCCAATTCTTCTGTGTATTTTTTTTTTTTTTTTTTTTTTAGAAAATCAGAAGCTCAGATATTTATATGAAATCTCCAAATTGTACCTATGTATAACCTATTAAAAGCTATGGCTGAAGGCTCTATTCCGTTTACAAGCACCAGTTTGCAAACCTGGCCTAAAATCACATTATTCTCATGAATTTCATTTGCACATGCTTCCTCTGGTAGGAGATGGAGCTCTGTGCAGTTCAGTGCACCTCATCTGCAGCCTGTCTTTCTCCTGCCGCTGAGAATGCTCTGGGGACAGCAAGGACACCGCTATCCTCGAATGGGGACATGCCAAGGTTGCAATAAGGTGCCAATCACTGTACTGCAATAGGGTAAGTGTATTCAACTTCCATAGAGTCCAACTCTGGGATCACCAAGCTAGTATGGGAGCAAAAGGTAGGTACTGGAAGGAAGCAGGTCCCACAGCAGGTACTGAAAGACTTGAGAAGTGTGTCCATTCAGGTAGAAGGATGCTAGGTACTGGCTGCCCCATCAAAATGGCCTCTTGTCTCTGCTTCCGCCTTCCACACACACCCTTGCACACGTGTGGACTCTTGACTTCTCTGCCCCTTGACCTGGCTCCTCCTCAAGGTGGCCAGATGGAGAAGTTCACACGGTTGCTCACCCTGCAGTTCACCTCTCTACTGTCACATTCCCTCTCCTTCCTTACACATTTCAGAACTGAAAAGCTCTGTGTGTATTGAAAAGGGCCCTACAATATAAGCCGAAAGGGGCCCCCACAGACATTCGAGTCTTTGCTCTCCACTTACAACCTAGACAAGCTTGTAACGTCCCTCTGAATCTCCACGTCTGTAAATGGAGGTCATTGTGCAAAGTTTAAGGTTATGGGAGGACTAGAGAAAAAATGAAAATGTTTTATAAATATAAAGCAGTATGTAAGCTATTGTTATTATTATTGTTATCAGATTACTCCTACTGTGTGTCACCTAAAAGCTCCCTGTGTCATTGCTAGCCCCTCTCAAGGCAAACAAAAAAAACAAACTTAGAAAAAAAAGCCAAAATATGATTTTATAGTCTCTTTCTAGAAAGCTCAAAGATTAGACAGATCCTTGCTCAGTTGTGTAGAAGTCCCCATTTGCCATCACGATGGCTAATGTTTTGAAGTCACTGGAAAATGTCAGTGTAACCCAGACGAGCAACGCACCGACACAGCAAGTGATTGCAGCTTGGAGAAAGCACTGTGATAGTGAATCTGAATTGCTAACAGCCTGAGCCATTTGGTGTGTAAGACAATTTTCAGCAACTTCACACAATGTCATCACCAGGCCACTCTTCCCCCGCACCCAGCTCTCTTGTCATCCAGGCAAATCGTCCAAGCTCATTCACAGGTGACTCTGTTGCTGCGGAGTTACGACTTTCATGCCCGGTTTTACACCCAGCTCACGGGGAAAGTGGCTAAAAAAGAGGAAGTGGAGTCTGAAAACTGTAGACCAGTGACCCTGAAATCAGCCTAGGACAAGATTCCAGACCGGATTAAGACATTTTTGTGAATACTTAGGGGAACTGTAATTGGTAGAAACGAACATGGGTTCACTAAGGAAAAAAATCATGCCAGATACCTTTTTCACTGACCTCGCTGTTTTCTTTAACTAGTTTGAAGGATTTTAAGAAGTTGATGAACATAATGCATCTAGACTTTAACAATGTATGAGTCCAGGCCACGGATTAGCAAACTCTGGCCCTTACACCAAATCTGGCCTGGGCTTCTTTTTATAACTCA